AAGCTGTGAGAGCCTCAGTGTGCTGCTGGACACAGGCTAGAGAGGTTGCTGCAGAAAGATGGCCCRGTGTGCGTGTGTGGGGAGGGGGGGCCGGTGGAGTAGGTAACCATCAACATCCGGGGCTCCGAAGGACAGCCGAATGGACGCCCAGTGGACGGCATTTTACCAGCTCCAGCCATTTCCATGGGGGTGCCACCTTTTCACCCCTCCATCAGGTTGATTGCCTTTTCTTCCCCAAGTTCCATTGTTCTTCCAGAATGAAGAAGAAAAAACATTTCTGTCGCCCCACTAGCTGCTTTTGTGCATACTGTAGGTTGTAGATAATGTTCCTTCTCTTCCTTTTTTCTTCACCTTTTCCATTGAGATAAGGCTGCYGGCATGGGTAGGGTAAGAATTGCCCCCCACCCTAAGACCAAATGAGGCAGGAGGACAATGGAGGTGATCCTATTTTGGACAGTCATCAGCTTTTTTCTTCTCTTTTCTTTTTTTTTTTTTCAGAAGTTTCCAGAGTGACAGGGTCATTCCCTCTCTTGGCCTGCTGGAGAGGCCAGTGGCCCCCAAGTCAGACGTTTCTATTTTCAGCTCCCCAAGTCCAGAGAGCAGTCACCTCCGCCACAGGGAGGGCCACGCAGCCAACCTGCCAGCAGTTCGGGCCTGCAGCCTCTGTGCATTTCCATTTCCATAAATTTACATCAAATTTGTGCTGAATCATATCCCCCCCACGCAGAAAAAATGAAATACATTATCAATAAGTACAACCAATTTGAATAATCTGAGAGCAGAGTGACTTTTCCTGACTTTCTTCCATTTAACTCCTTCCTCAGACCAAGTCTCTTCTCCAATCCCCCCACCAGCCTGGGAGTGGGTGTCTTGGCACCCTCCCTGGTGCCCAAGGTCGGAGGCTCCTCTCCTGAGGTGTTTCTCTTCTGGCCCCTCCCAAGGTGCCCCACGCCCTGCCTCTCCTGAGGTCCCCCTGACTTCCCAACCCACCGGCCTTCTCTTCCCCTCTTCCCCCGGCATCTCGGTCCTCATTCCTGGAGCCCTTGCACMTGCCTCAGTTGCTGCCCAAAGCCTCGGCTCCTCTCCACCTCCCAAAATGCCCAAGCCAATCACACTCAAGTCCAAGCCCCAGCCCCTCAGATGACAATTGCGGAGCACGGGCCTGCCAGGCAGTCATCAATCCCAGTCATCATTTTGAGCACCTTGGAGGTGCTTCCTTCCACCCCCTGCGGCTGGGCTGATTGGCAGCCAGCAGGGCTGGAGGAGGGTGGGGCACTCTGCTGATTGTTTGCTGCTGGGCAGGGAGGGCTTAGTGCCAGCCAGGTTCCCAGGACCCCGCAGCCCAGGGGTCTAAGACAGACAGTGGTTGCTTGGAATCAGGAACCAGGCCAGAATCTGCCCTCTGCCCCTCTGATGTTCAGCTGCTGGCCTTGGGTAGGGAAATGATGGATAAGCCCCCCCCCCCCCCCCAAATGGCCCTGCTGCAGCCCATATCAGGACCTGCAATTCCCTGGTGCTGGCTAAAATCAAGAGCAAAGAAAGTCGTGTAGCAACCAGTCACGGAGGCTCCTAGCAGGACCTGTCAAAGTGAATTCTCTGCAAAAAGCAAGAATTGGGGACCTTGATTCATATGGAGCTACTTAAGTGTGTGCCTGCATGCTTGGTGCATGTGGACCCACCCCCCAATCCTTTATAAACTGCAATCAAGAGTCATTTTCTTCTCAGATTGGATTTCTTAATACAGGCTGGAGAAAAGTAACATGAATATTGCCCCCTCCAAAATCCAGTTCAGGAAAACAAACAAACCTGAGCCAGAATCTCTACTGGAGCTTTGCTTAGCTTCCTTTAATGAGAGTACTGACATTTTGTGCTTGGGCTGCCAGAATCTGAACTGAAAATACTGTCTGGAGAAGTTATATCAAAAGCTTCCGGGCTCTCCCCTGTGTCTGGGGCTGTTGGGACAGGGCCAGAGTGCTGTTGCAGGTTAATGGAGAACCGGCAAGGAGAGGCGGAAATTTCTAACACGTCCACATCCCCCCCCCCCCACCTCCCCAGAGATGTGTTTGTTTCCTCAGTCTGTACGGGTTCAATTGCTCAGATTAAGCTATTTTGGAGTTTCCACATTTAAATCCCTCTCAAACTTTTAAAAGTAAGAAGCATCATTCAGAGCATCTAAGTACTTTCTTCTAACACTATAGGTACATATAAATAAATCAATAAAACTGGCCCTGGGGCTATGAATATATATGGAAAAATTGGGTCCTGGGAGATTCTTTCTCAGAAAGCTAAGGGGAGGGGAAAATAGAGAATAAAGCCAATGTTTCAATACTTTGTGCTAGGATGACAAAATTAAGACAAAGCCATCCGTTTTTACATCGGTCCCATGCACAAGGATGTGTGTGTGTGTGTGTGTGTGTGTGTGTGTGTGTGTGTGTGTGTTGGGGACATTTAACATACCATTTTTATCCGAGGTAAAGACAGTTGGCAAGTGGTTTTATTTTTCCTTTGAAAATGGGTGACCACAATATAATTAGCTTTGTTTTCGTCGGCCGGGGCTGCTGCTGCTGAAGTATCTAGAGGCCTTCTGGTAGAGGTGCCTAAAAGCTTACACTGGATTTAATTATTATTATTACTCAATGTCAGGCTACATAAATGAAAAGAGATAAAAAAGAATCGCTCGCAGCTACACTGCCTTGGTCTGTGATTTCATCACATCTCACSAGCTAAGCAGGTTGGAGCTGGCAGTTGAGGCATGAAACCTCGAAGGAAATCCCAGGCAACCAGAGATGCTCTTTCAACTGAGTGGAAACTTTCTCCTAATGCGGGGCGGGAATGGAGGGGGTCTGCCACTCTGATTTTCCTCCCCAATTTTATTTTCAAATACTTTAATAAATATCTGGCTTATGATAGGGAAAGAAAGCAAGTGGGGGAAATAGAGTCCCAGAGAGAGCTGTCTTAAAGGTACATGGTCTCTAATGTGAAGTCTTTGGTTCCCGAGGGCTTATTGATCACCTGTCCCTTTTCTTGAAACACCAGTGATGGCTGCAAGCAGCAGCAGTGCTGAATGGCTCCGTGGAAGGGGGTATCCATAGGGGCTTTCCCACCCACCCGAAAACCAGGCAAGGAGGAGGCAGAAGGCAGATGAAATAAGTTCTACTCAGTCTCCCTGCAGTCTATTTAATTGACAGGTCAGAATGAAACCAGATGGTTCACCAAGGGGCAATATATGGCAGACAGTACCTTGCTTTTTAGACATGAGACAGGCTGTTAGGAACAGTGCTGGGCACTGCATTAATTAACCCTAGACATTCCACGCAGGGATGACCTTCTCTAACTTCCTTGGATTAAAAAGAGAACAAGGTAGGTGATCCAGAAGTCCAGAAGATTAGCTGCATCCTAGCCCCTTCTTTTCTTATTCTCTAGAGCATGAATTGTAAACCCTTCAAGGCAGGGAGCAAGGCTGCATTGGGTGGTCTTTCTGTTCCTCTCAGCTGGGTTCACCCATGCACCTGTGTTCAGCTGGAGGTCAGTGCCCCAGCCTTCCTGCTGAAGTATCTGCAGTTCAGTTGGCTATTGGTTGGAAGTCCTGTCATTTAGCAAGCTATTCTGGGCAAGTTTCCATGGTTCTGAACACAGGTTCCCAAGAGCAGTAAGTAAGAATAAGCCCTGCCCCACAGGTATCTTACAACCC